GGGGGGGGGGGGGGGGGGGAGTGGTGGTGAGAGAGAAGTTTCAGAATTGACCTTAGACACTAAGGACTTAATTAGGAAAAGGAAAACACATCCTGAACTTAGCTTTCCACTGAGAAATGTTAAACTATTCACAGCACTCACCAAAAATTATCAACAGGATCAACTTTTTTTTTTTTACCAGAACTTATCTGTCCCTACCCCTTCCAAACCACAGATGCCTTAGCTCTGACTGAGTTGGCATGTAGTCCTCTAGTGTAACATTGTCCAGTAGAACTTTTTGCAAAGATGAATGTGTTCTATATATGCACTGTGCAGTAGTGGCTGAGCACTTTTAATGGATTAGCGTGACTGAGGAATTGAACTTTTTTATTTATCTCCTGTAGGCATAGAAATGAAAGATTAAAAACCACTCTGTACCACATTATAACGTGCTCACTGCTATTTATGTACTCATTAAGGTTTGCCAACATTGAAGGGCTGACAACTTCACAAACTGCCCACTGTAAAAGGGATTAGCATACCAGGAGAAGGACTGAGGTTGATGAACAAAAACCTTATGGAAATTAATTCCACCACAAAGCTTGAGTGGAGGAAGTCTCTGGCTTCCCTCCCACAGGAGGGTTCCTAGGAAAAGTCTGTACGCAGCACAGAGGGGAAGAATGCAGTCACCACCCACTAATGAGAGGATGACATGGCTCACTAAGCGAGTATTAGGGCGCCTGGGGTATGAGGCCCTTGTTTTCCCCAAGAACCACTGGGAACAGCAAGTTCCTGGGATTAGCTGGTCATTTGCTTGAGTGGAAAAAGCTAAGGCCTCACTCAGGGATCCTCAAGACCAGCAAATTCTACTTAAAGGATTAACTCTAGAGGATCCCTAGAACAGGTGCCAGCTTGGCGCAGGCAGGAGTCATGTTTACATAGTCAAGGCAGGTCATCCTTTGCACAAGACTCCCTGTTGTAGACAGGAATTTGCTGTGCAAATTCCCAACCCATGATAGTAGGAATGTCCCATGTTCTCAGAGATGTTTGCCCTGAACCAAAAGCAACTGTGAGCATGCTCCCCTAAATTGTTTTTATTGAGCAAGTATGACCAAGGTTACCCCCTTGTCTGAGGTGGGCCAGTTTGCTGGAGAAGAATGGTCAGAAAGGGAGATTGCCTCATAGTTCTTGTCTTTACCATCGATCAATTCCAAAACCTAAGGACAAGAAGCCCAAGGGGCATGCCAAGCCAGCAGGTTCTTCTGGGCCAAGGATGACTATGTCTGAGGTCATCCTGGGACAGTTGTACAATCCAGTGCAGCCAAGCTGCCTACGAGGGAGCATCCATTAGGCCAGACCTAGTGCTCTGGCCTGACCTGGGTGCTTAAGAGCAGCCTGAGCACCAAAATTAGTGTTTCCAATCGTGCCATATGCTGAGGAGCCAAATTGAGGTTAAAGCAGCTTTTCCCCCAGTCTTCACTGATCACAGGGAAAAAAGGCCCCATGAGTACCGAGGTCTTCCTGAGACTGAAGCCCTACCGGACCTCGCACCAGGAGGCAGGCAGGAGAGGAGTGCACTGTCCTGATGATCCGCACCGAGGCGGCTCAGTGTAAACAAAGTCTGGTATTGGGGACAGAAGAGGATGCAGCCTGGTGTAGTTTTCAGAAGAAGAAAACAACCACGTCTAGCACCTAGGTGGGCTTGCGTGGGTCTGCACAGCAGTCCCTCATACCGACCCTTACAGAGAGAAACAAGCTATTTGGTGGCTTGGGTCCATGAGACATTGACAGCTGAAAGAATTCAGGTGATCCACCTCAACTCTAGAAGTTTCTGTCCTCACCAGAGACAGATTTATCGACTAGAACAAAAACCAGGCCTCAAGTAAAATAAGGGGTTATCCTTCAAAATAGTAATATTGTCAGACTTCTGACTCATGAATGTGTTCATCTGTCCTTGCTGAACTTGAGCCAGGTGCTTGTAACATGACCTATATATACTAAAGTGTAACAGGTACATGAGTAAAAAATCTTTAAAGCACCTTTGCAGGTAAGACTCTACAGAAGATTGTGCTAAAACCAAGCAAAAAAAAAAGTCTGTGGTCAGAGTCTGATCCACCACCACATAGAGGCACCTCTAAGGACAGAGGGACTCAGCTTTTGGTACTCTGAATTTATAAACAGTCTATTGCATCTTATAGGTGAATACTTGGCTAGAATTGGTGTTCTGGGTTAAATATTATCAGTAAATAATGGAATACAAGCATCTCCCCAGGGAAGGCTTTTGAACCAGAAGAAGAAAGGGTAGCATTTCAGGCCTATAAAGTCAGGTGCCTGGACCTGGTCAGAAGAAAACTTCCCATAAAAGCAGCCCCTTTATAGAGACTCCTGGTTCAAACCTCAAATATCAAATTCAGAAACTACCAGCCATAGCTATTAATCTAGCTAGCACTCCTTCCCCCAGCGCAACTCACTAAGTGTCTGTAAGGGATGCACCCAGCCACCAAGAACAAAACAACCACCATTCCCAAGCCCCCCACAACCACCACCCTCTGGCATCTCCACCTTCGGGCTGGCCCCAGACTCTTGAGTCTCCTCCCAGAGTTTACCAGTGAGAGTGGCCACCTAAAGAGGCCATCAGCCCTCAGCCCCTTACATAATGTGGGCCAACAGGCTCCTTTAGTACAAGAGGGCTGTGCCCACACAGTCTTATCATCCGGACTTTGGTGGCTATGGCCACAGGTAGGCAACCTTCCAGGCCTCAGGGGACTTCACCTCTGGCCTCTAGTCACTTTTCTTCTCAACCTTTCTCTCTTCAGGTACATCTAGCTCAGTCAGGACACAAAAGCAAATCTTCTGGGTGACTTTGGTGATAGCAGCTAAATGAAAAAAGAATTTAGTCATCTGACATTCAGCTACAACCCTAATCTGAACGCAAGGCTGATTAAAGCACATCAATGGCTCCCTGCCCACCTCTCCCTTGGGTACCGTATGCCAAGCTTTGCCCCTCACCCCCAACAAGCCTCAATGTCCCCAGTCCTATACCCAACCAGAGTCTGATGCATGACTCATCTTTCCATGCAGAAGGCACTTTCAGGAGGTAGTGTTTTAACCCCAAAATAGAACTCTAAAGATAGAATTAAAGTGATCATATCAAGATCAAAAGGGAAGAAGGAACGGGATGGAATGGGTCATTGGGGAGAAAAAGGGACATCTGTAATATTTTAAACAATAATAAAATAAAAAAAAAAAAAAAAAAGATCAAAAGGGAAGAAGTCATGTGGGGCAGTCAGATCTCATGGCCTCCAGCACATCACTAGTATGGAGGAAGCCAGCCACCAGTCCCACCTCTCCATGCATCTGTGAACACACAAACACACACACATGTTCAGTGAGTGATGGACAAAGAGAAGCTCACCAAGGACATTCCGAACAAAGACTGGCCTCCGGGACTCTGGCAGGTAAACACCCAGGAAGTAAACAGGAACTCCCGAGAGGGCGATCCCAATGCCAATGAAGGAATTGATGGTGTCTCCAAAGAGGGGCACAATCACCAGAAACAAGGAGCATATGCAGAACACGATGGGAAAAAACAGGCTCAGCTGAAATGGAGGTGAGATATTAGGTTAAGTGGGATGGGGGAACGGTATGGGGAAGAAGGCATCTTGGGGACAGGGCTACCCCTCCTAGTCTGCCCAGACCCACTGACCTTGACAGGCCGGTGCCGCTCAGGCTCCTTCCAGCGTAGGTAGAGCTGTCCAGCAACAGACAGGCCCACAAAGAACCAGTAGCTGAAGCTGAAGTAGTTGATGAGCAGGAAAACATCCTCCACAATGAGGTAGATGAGTGACATTGTGCACTGGATAGGGAGGGATCAGAAAGGAATGTCACCACCAGGGACCCCATGAGACTCCACCAGCACCAGATTTGCTAACTGCTATTTAGCTTCACCAGATTACCTCCAGTTCTCTTCAGTGACCCCTTGGCATCAGAAAGGTCCGTTCTCCACTTTAACCTTCAAGGTGGCATCTCTCCCTCTTCTGTTGGAGGCCCTTTCTCCACTCAATGCCTCCCTTCTTTTTGCAAACACTTCAGTAACAAGCCACATTCCTTTCCCCTTTTGAAGGTAGTGAGGCCCTCCTCACTTCAACCCACCAACCTCAACATGAATCACAAGGTGCCCTCCAGACCTTTACACATGGGTCCTGATTGCCTGGCATACAAATGGGCAAATGCCTCAGAACCATCTCTCTTGTCCTGACACCTTAGAAATGCAGATTAGCATTCTGGCTGGTGTGGCGCAGTCAGTTGGGTGTATTCTTGTGCACCAAAAGGTTGCTGGTCAGGGCCGTAAGGAGGCAGCCGATCAATGTGAGATCATATCAGTGTTTCTCTCTCCCTCTCCTTTCCTCTCTCTCTAAACATCAATGAAAATATTTTTAAAAGCCCTGGCGTGTATGGCTCAGTTGGTAGAGCATCGTCCTGTGTACCAAGAAGTGAGGGCTTGATCCCCAGTCCCCAGTGGGGGGGCATGCAGGGGCAGCCAATCCATGTTTCACTCTCTGGCATCAATGGTTTTTTTCCCTCTCCCTCTCCCTTCCTCTTTCTCTCAAAATCATTAAAAGATCTTTAAAAAATAAATTCCAGTGGGGAAGTACCCTCTTTGTATTCAGTATAAAGCTAAATAATGAAGCTCAGTGCTGATGGGGAGGATTAGTTGAAATGATACATATCATTATACTTGGCATATGTAAAGCACCCTAAAAATTAGTTATTATATTTATATGATAGAAATTTCAAAACTGGAAAAATTGCTCCCTGTTAGCGTTCATTTATATAATGCCTTAGTACAAATTAGGAAGTGGTGGTCCTTCAGGACTTTCCATCAGAATACTTTTATAATTTTCTAATTTTGGTGGACTAAAACACTTTACTGGCATCTACTAAATATGAATCTATAAGTCTACGTAGTTGGTGTATAACTGGTCTGACTTCTAAATATGTTTTTTTTGTGTGTGTGTGTGTGTTTTTTTTTTTAGAGACAGAAACATCGTGACAGTGAAGCATCAACTGGCTGACTCCTGCACGTGCCCCAACTTGGGATCAAACTCACAACCTGGGCATGTGCTCTGACCAGGAATTGAACCGGCGACCTTTCAGTGCACAGGACAATATCCAACCAACTGAGCCACATTGGCCAGGGCTCTAAATATGATTTAATAATTTTTTTTAAAGGAAGAGCTAAAAGAAGTCACTGACATAAAAGAAAAGATAAAGAAATCCTACAAGTTCATTTTTATATTCTTTTATAGCACTTGCCTTCTCAATAGGGCTGTTTTAGTTTTATATTTTACAATAATTTTAAGAAAAAGAAACAAAGATGCTCAGGAATTATTTCAAGAAAGCTAGTATACCTCCCACCCAACAGTCTTCTCACAAAGTCTGCAGGAGTAGTACAGAGATATACCCAGTCCCCATACTGCCCCAGCAGAGCTTACATTGAACAATAAAGCAGGGATGGGTGTAAAACGCTCAATGTGAATCATGGACAGAAGGTCTGGGAGGTGGCCCTCACGGGAGCCCACAAAGAACAACCTGGAGGGACAAGAAATGTGTCAGTAGGATCCTTTTACTCAGCCACACAGCCACATTCCTCACTCAAATTAGGCTCAGAGCTCCAGAATTAAGCAAGAGGCAGTCTCTCAGGAGCATCCCATGTTCTCTATGCATGCCCAGTCCACCCTATCCCCTTTACCCACTGATGTCTGCACCCGCTTCAATCAGGGGCACCTCAGCATTATCCATAAATGCCCTACCCCACTATTACTGAGACACCACCATCACTGAGACGCCCCCATTCTCTCAATCACAGACACCCCACCATCACCCAATGGATTCCTCACCCTGCTATCACCCACTGGGACACCCCAATCCATCCCACCAGAGGTACCCTCACTTTACCATCGCATAGATTTCATACTTAACACATGGCTATTTTTTTTAATCCTCATCTGAGGATATATTTTCCATTGCTTTTCAAAGAGAGTGGAAGGGAGACAGAAACACCGATGTGAGACACTTCGATAGGTGGCCTCCTGCACATGCCCTGACCAGAGCCTGGGATCATGCCTGCAACCAAGGTACATGCCCCTGGCAGGAATCAAACCCAGGACCCTTCAGTCCACAGTCTGACCTCTAACCACTGCACCAAACCAGCTAGGGCAACACAATGGCTTTTTTTTTTTTTTAATATATCTTTATTGATTTCAGAGAGAGGACAGGAGAGGGAGAGAGAGAGATAGAAACATCAATGATGAGAGAGTCATTGGTCGAGCCCACAACCGGGGCATGTGCCCTGACCAGGAATTGAACCCCGATCGCCTGGATCCCAGGTCGACGCTCAAACGCTGAGCCACGCCAGGCCAGGCAACACAATGGCTTTTTAAAGAAAAGTAGCCAGACTTCTGTTTTATCCTCATATATCTTCTCTGAGCTTTTGACATGTGATAGGCCAAGGCAAGCCTGAAGCTCAGAGACAACCTTGGCTTCCACTCTGCACTCAAAGAGCCCTACTGACTGGGAAACAACAGCAGAGAAATGAACACCACCCAGGGCAGTCAGAGTCATGGGAGTACACAGCACTCACCAGACTTGGGGGTGGGCTGGGGGAACAAAAGGCTTTGCGAGAGATGACCACATCTAGGCTGGGAAGAAGAGCTGGAGTTTGCCAGAAAGTGAGCGGGTGGGTGAGGAAACAGCATGTGCAAAGGCAAAAGAGGCTTGGAGGCAGAACACTGTGGCCTCTTTGAAGGTTGGTGCTAGAATGCTTGTAGTCCCAAGATAAGGTGTGTAAGGAGTGTGCTAGGAAGAACCTGCATACGAGGCCATGCTGTGGAGTCTGAACAAGCATGAGAGTCATAGCTCTGGCTCTGAAGTAAGGGTCTGATAGGATTTGACACAAAGACTCTGATAGCATCATGGAGGCCAACTAGAACAGGTAGAGACTAAGGTATGGACAGAAGGCCAGACAATGTCCCATAAGAGAGGAGGCCTGAATGAGGGCGATGCCCTGGCTGAGAACAGGATAGATGTGATAACCTCAATCAAATATAGTGATCCCGTGTGTGTGTATGCATGTGCACACACACACACGTGCATATGCACACACTGGGAGAAGAGGGTTTACCCCAAGGATAAAATTAAGAAGCAAGGAGAACTGCCCTGGCCAGTGTGGCTCAGTTGGTTAGGCGGTGTCCCATGCAACCAAAAGGTTGCCGATTCAATTCCTGGTCAGGACACATGCCCAGGCTGCAGGCTCTATCCCAGGAGGAGGCATGAAGGAGGCAGCCGATTGCTGCCCCAGTCTCACATCAATGTTTCTCTCCCTTCCTCTCTCTCTAAAAAAAAAATCAAGAGTAAACTATTCTAAAAAAAATTTAAAAGGCCCAGCCAGCGTGGCTCAGCGGTTGAGCATCAACATATGATCCAGGCAATTGAGGTTTGATTCCCGGTCAGGGCACATGCCTGGGATTACAGGCTCAGTCCTCAGTAGGGGGTGTACAGGAGGCAGCCAATCAATGGCTCTCTCATCATTGATGTTTCTATCTCTCTCTCTCTCTCCCTTTTTCTCTCTGAAATCAATCAATCAATCAATCAATAATTGAATTAAATAAAAAATTAAAAAAGCAAGGAGGACTGATGGTCCACAAAATCACAACTGGACACAAAGCACATGTGGGTGCATATTAAGTTTGAAATACTCATGGGTCATCACCTGGAAAGGTGTAATAGGGCAAGATGTTGGAGTTGGCTGACAAAGTTAATAATTTGTACTAGGTAAAGAAGAAATGTGATAGAGAGGATGTGGGAAGGGTGAGGCACAGGTGTCTAGTACAAAGCCGAAGACAGCTGTGTGGGTTATAAAGAAAAACTGAAGAAGATGATACAGGCAGAAACAATAGTGTACTGACAGCACTGCAGTCCCCTTTATGTGCAGGGCCAGGTTCTTACTTTCGAGACCTCCCCAACCCCATCCAGTCAATGCCACAAGATAGCTGAGTGAGGTTAGAAGGCACCTACCACTTAATATTTAGGGATGACCGACAAGGTCACCTGGAATGAACTGAGCATCAATAAGCATGAGGCTATGGGAAATACCACCTTTGGGTGGGAAGCACCATCTTTAGGTGGGGCAGCTTGTGAAGAGCCAGATGGGGTGCGACCTTGGTCACACCAGGCTGAGGTGAGAGATGACACCATATTCTTTTTCAAGGCGTTGATTTCTCTGTTACTTTGGCTGCCCAAGGGAGGCCCCAAGTTTATGGAATGGAGTGTCAAAACTAGTAAGAAGAACAAACAAGACAAAACTTTCTCTCCTCTCTGTTCATGTGGCAAATATTTACTGAATGCCTATTATGCTCTTGGCCTTGGGGATAGTAACATTTATAGGGTGAGAAATCAGAAAAGAAGCCTTCTCAGCTACCAGAGTGTCACAGAAGTCACAGGAATCATTTCAGAAGTACTGTAAAAGGCTGTCAGTATCACTTCCTTCCTGGGTCCAGTAGAATAAGGACTATGAAAGCAGGCTAAGAAGGAGGTCACTGGCACCCTTAATAAGAACATTTTTAAGTAATAGAAGCCAAAGTATAATGGGTAGAAAAATGAATGACAGCTGAAATGCAAACTATTCCCTCAAGAAATGTGTCCAGTAAGGAAGAGGGGAGATGAGAAAAGCTATTTTGTGACTTCTGTAAGTGGAGATGAAAGAAGCTTGTGCAGAGATGGCTCCAACCAAACATCCACCAAGAAGGGCTAACTGATAAAACAAAGTGCTGAAGAAGGAAAGTGTGTGACCTTAACACCAGGTAGCAGAATCAGCCTGACAAGCCTCCTCTCTCTGAAACAACAGGAAGGACGGTCTCTACATAGAGAGGAGAGCAGGAGCTTACCTGTTGGCCTCAGTGTTTTCTGTGAAGTTAGGGGCAGAATCATTCTGTACCAGTACATGGTACACAGCAAGTACTCAATAATCACTTACTGAAGGAATGAATGCTGGGGCTCTGCCATAACCCACAAGGAGCCTAGCATCTGTTCCCTGACAGGGTCCCTGCTCCAAGCTATTACCTTCCTCTCTCCCACCTCTTACCAATCTGTTCTTGCCTTGGAGGGAAACATGAGCTATCAGGCCCTGGCCAGATAGCTCAGTTGGTTAGAGCATCATCCTGATACACCAAGGTTGTGGGCTCGATCCCATGTCAGGGCACATAAAAGAATCAACCAATTGCCCTGCCCTGTGTGGCTCACTGGTTAGAGTGTCAGCCCACACACTGAAGGGTCATGTTTGATTCCCAGTCAAGGCCCAGGTCAAGGTGCCTACAGGAGGTAACCAATCAATGTGTCTCTCTCACTTCGATGTTTCTCTCTCTCTCCCCCACTTCCACTCTCTAGAAATCGAGGAGAAAAGGTCCTCAGGTGAGGATTAAAAAAAAAAAAAGAGCCAGACCAGGCATAGCTCAGCAGCTGAGCATCAACCTAAGATCCAGGGGATCGCGGTTTGATTCCCAGTCAGGGCACATGCCCGGGTTGTGGGCTCAATCACCAGTCGGGGACATGCAGGAGGCAGCCGGTCAATGACGACTCTCTCATCACTGATGTTTCTAGCTCTCTCTCTCTCTCTCTCTCTCTCTCCCTCTCCCTTCCTCTTTCTGAAATCAATAAAGATATATTTAAAAGTTAAAAAAAGGAAAAAAAGAAGAGAAACATGAGCTACCAGCACACAAACATCTGCACAAAGGCAGGCACATGCATGCACACAGACATGTACACACACACGTGCACAGCACACACAAACACACTATTTCCGAGAGGGAGAAGGAAAAAGAAGAGCTCTTACAGGTTCACCTAAAGCCTCAGAGAACAATGGAGTCTGTTGTCAGTGAAGCAGAGACACAGTACCTTGATGAAGCAAGGATAGACGCGTTGAGGCCCCCAAAGCAGGACAGCGCAACAGCAATGGGGATGGTCCAGCTGAACATGCCAAATGTCTGGTCAGCAAATGTCTGGAGGCAGAACACAGAGGCACACTCAGCATAAGACAGGCTTTCATAAGCTTCCTGCATCTAGGCTGTTGGGACAAACACAGTCAGTGCCGAGCAGCCCACCCTCTGGCGTAGACCCATCACCTCGCCTGTAAAGCTGGAGTGGCTGCAAAAAGATTGAGCCATTCAGTCTTATAAGATGACGAAGCAAATGGGTATCCCAAGAGACTCACCACGGCCACGGCAGCACTGCCAAGGACATCTGAAATGCTCAGCACTGTGTAATAGGCCACGTTGGTCAGAATGTAGATGAGCGTCACAATTGGCAGAGAAATCCCAATGGCCAGGGGCAAATTTCTGTCAGGACAAGTGAGACAGGACTACCTAGAACCAACCTCTCCTTGGGGTCAAAGTTCACCCAGGGATTTTTTCTGACATTTAACAGTTCCCTGGCCTCTGCCTCTTTGAGGCACCTCTTCCACCAAGTGGCCTAGGGTGGGTATGTATTCCATGTCCCTGGGCTCTTGAGAGAGAGAGAGAGAGAGAAACTCTTCTTTGTGAAGATAGCTCATGATCAATATTTGATGCTCGCCACACTAGGACCAATGGGTCCCACTGGAGAAGGAGCAATGTCCTCTAGGGACTAGAGGCCAAGCTGAGGATCTGGCCCAGAATAAACTTCTGATTCCCCAGGCCTCAGTGTCAGTACCAGAGTACAAGGTCCTGACACCTTAGCCCCAGCTAGTTCTGCTGCTGCCCACAGAAGGGACTTTCCTTGAGGAAGGACCCTGGTATCATCCAGTATGCACATGAGGGCAAAGAGCCAGGGGCTTTCCCATCTTCATTCATTCCCTCCCTAACCCTTCATCCCTCTGAGCTGGAGAAGAAGTAGGGAGGGATGAGAGATGGAGGGTCAAGGGGAGGGAAGAGGGCGAGCTTGCCCTCTACCAGCAGAAGCTCCAGCCACATTGGGGAGTGAGAGCTGAGGAGTGAAAGGGTGAGCCCACCTTTACCTTTCTGGGTTTTTGATTTCTTCTGTTACAAAATTAAGGGTGTCCCAACCTGAGTAAGAGAAGAGGGCAGAGTAGAGGGCGAAAGAGAGGTCTCCCATGCCCCAGGAGGAACCCTCAAAGGCGTCCTGAAAGTGCTCAGAGTGTCCTGTGGGAGCAAAGGTCGGTGGGGGTTCAGGGAGAAGGAAAAGAAAGGAGGAGAGACGGAAGGCATAAGAAGGGAAGGATGGGGGAAGTAAGAGAGAGGAAGGGAAGATGGAGTAAAAGGAGAAAGGAGGAGGGTCAAGGGGGGAGAAAAAGAAAGGAGGGAAAAGCAAGAGGAAAGGAGGGAAGGAAAAAAACATAATTTAACACCAAAAGAATGACAATCACCAGCTCCCTATACTTTACCACCGCCTCACTCCCTCAGGAAAGTTCATATTCCTTTAGTAAAACTAGATGATCTTAGCTAAGAAGGGTACTCCCAGCTGCCTCTGATGTGATCTAGTGAATTTCCATTTCCTGCAAGTGACCTGACAGTAGGCCACAGCTTTTCCTCCTATTTTTAGAAAGCACCGTTTATCATAAAGGAGTCATTTTTCAATAACAATTAGACCTTACTGTGGAACCACCTCTCTTTGCCCAGACCGCTGCACAATTTGGTCAAACAGGTTTCTCTCAGTCTCACGGAGAGAACTCTGTTGCTCTATTGCAATGGCCGTGGTTGGTTGGGGCAGGAAATCACCAGCTATGTAGGAACTGGGGTTTTATTTTGCACTGGGCCTGGAGTAGATATGGGTCACCTCCCTTAAAGAGCCAGCCGAGGCACTTATCATTCTTCTTGGAGGCCTCCAGAGACTACAACTTGAAGGCACAGGATGAGGGACTCAGCTGCCCAGTAGAGAGCCTTTCTGGACATGCTGCAGGTTTTTAACAAGACCCAGACTTCTAAGGAAGCCCGCTATCACCCCCTGCAGAGAGCCCAGACCTATCCTTCAATGTGGCAAAAAGGGCTGGATGTTTCTGAGGCTCTGGAGACATCCAGATGGCTGGCTGCACTAACTTGGCACATATACACAGAGGTGCTAGACCAAGTGCTTAAGAATTACACAGGGTACTTAAAAATACACCTTTCTCAACTCCAAACCAACCAGAGTTTGATCCAATAGGTCTTAGATGGGGGTCTCTGGGCCCTAGGTGATTGTAAACACAGCCAAGCTTAGAGACAGATGATCTGGAGAACTGGTTGTTAAATGATTGAAATATCCTGGGCCTGAAGACTTCTGTAAGGACTCACGAGATCTTGGAAGGACTGTTACCCTCACTGCCAGTTTGCTCTGATCCAAGAATGAAAAAGCTTTCTAAAGCCAACCTGCAGAAAAGTCAGTGCCAACTTCACAATATTTTAATATTTTTCTGAGAGCTGAGTCTGGGAGGGAATGTTGAATAAGAGCAAGACTAGATAAAATAACCACTCGTTTCCACACCCCATCTCCCCTACTCACACACAAACACACACACACATCTTTCTACCCCTATCAAGGAGGGCCAAAACTTCCTACTTGCTGCCTGGCAATCACAGACCAAAAGTAGGAGCCAGAGCAGGGTTCACTCTATCCCCGCTGTTTACTTTTATGAGCCAATTATGGCCCAAGTTTTAAGAGCTCCTAGGCCCTCAGCTGGCTTCTTGCAGTACTCCTAGCCTCCTTAAAGGGAAAGCAGCCCTGAGGGAGGGGCTGACTCATGTCCATTTGGCCAAGCCAGCCTGGCTCAAGAGGCCCAAGAGAAGTCTTATTCTCACTGACACAGTCTAGCATGTACAAAGAGCTGAACAGGAAAGCTAACTGAATCCCCATGTCCTCCTAAGGGAATCCAGGGACCTCCTGGAGTCATCCACCCTCCTTCCCACCTCAGGCCCTTCTTACCCTGGCACAGTTTAACAAGGCCCATGACAATGATGGCAATGAGAGCTAGGACCTTTGCATAAGTGAACGTGTCCTGTACACGTGTGCCCCACTTGACATAGGCACAGTTCACAAACGTCAGCAGACCTAGAAGAAAAACCATAACGTCACTGGCAGGCTTGAGCTGAGGGCACAGAGGTCCAACCTTTCTCTACAGAGCATTTCACTCCTGCCCTATCTGCCTAAGGCAAAGGGGGGCTCATGCACCAGTCAGAACCAGAACAGGCAAATGGAGGGACATCTCCCATGTGCCCCAGCTGAGAGTTCCCATGAACATCCCCTCACTGTTGACAAGTAAAGATACAAAGGCATGCATTAACACATATTCATAAATTCTGACAACCAGAACCATTTTTGGAAATTCCTCTCAGGCCCAGGAATGGAAAACTCCTCCACTCAGACTCCCAAGGTCCCAAACCACCCAAGGCACAAGGCCTATCCATGGCCATATCAGAAAGTAGAGACAAGAGAGGCCCATTAATAAATGAGGTGAATTTGAATGTAGGCGGCAGATCACCTAGGAATTGGAGAGACAGTATTTTGTATATAAGTGTAAAAAAAGCCTATCTTGTGCCTAACAATTTCACATACATCCTGTCAATTAACTCTCACAATCCCCAAAATATAGACACTCCCATTCCCATTTTATAGATGAGAAAACTGAGGCTGAAAGAGGCTAACCATTGCTAAGCTCACATGGACCCCACTGATCTCTCCCACTCCCATTTCTATCCAAACCCCTCAATTCTCAGTGCAGCCAATGGAAAGGTGAACTCACTTGAGCATTTCCTAGGCTCCTGTCAGCCCTGCTGGCTTTACGTCCCAGTTCCTCACACACCTCAGTGATATCTGGGCTCTGTGTTGAGGATCCCGGCACCTAACCCGTGCTAAACAGGGACTGCTCTGATCCATAGGGAAGACACAAGAACAGTATACAAGGGGTTCCATAGTGACACCTCTAATTACTGCCCCTGGCCTCCAAATATAGAACTTTTATATGAACCTCAAATGTTATTACAAAATATTTTTATATCTACCTATTCCTACTTATTTTACACTCTCTACTTCAGCCAGACTCTCTTTTTACTGGTGGCAGATATACATGAAAAAGAAATGTCCTCCTCGCCTCCTCCTGCCATAGCCAACAGCAACTCCCACTTTCAAGGTCTAGCTCTATCCCCACTTCCTCTGTAAAACATTCCCCAAACATATCAGCCAGTCACTCACTGAGCTCTCTCTCCTCTTAGCCCTACAGCATTCCCACTTCAGCATAGCTTAGTGTCTCATGCTATGGTCATATGAACATCTGTCTCAAGAAGGTCTCTCCCTTGGGCATGTGGGTGGTGCTTCTCCAAGGAGATCATAAATTCTTAGGGGGAAACAGAAGCATTTTGTTTTCTTAAGCTTATTGCTAAGCATAGAGGGGAAAGGGTGAACCCTGGTTAGAATCAAGATGGTGATGACTTTCACCTAACTGCGAATTCCCTGAACCAAGGCGGGGGGTTGGAGGCAGAGACAATGGTCAAGGGGAAAGGGAGACCAAAGGAATGCATGCTACAGGTCTTCCCAGGAATCTGCTCTGATAACCAAAGTTCACTGTGTGGGGCTAAGCCTAGATCAGCTAACATAAAGATTACCTACTTAATAGCCACTAGTAATCCACAGACCCTTATGCAGTACAATAAGCATATTTTGAGGTACCTGCCTACCTGCCAGGCCCCTTCTTGGGAATTGCTGCCCTTCCTCTATTTTGCCTGATCAAGCCAGACACTGGAACCAAGCTGAGCCTATTGGATCATCTTTCCCAGGAACATGGAGTTGGGATACCAAGAGACCGAATCTATCTAATAGCAGCAGTCAGGGTCACAGCACGTCAAAGTCACATACAAACCCTTGTAACAAAGGAACAAAAGCCACAAGAAAGCAGAAGAAGGAAGCAGGACCACAGAAAGAAGTGAGAGGGTGTACAGCTGGTGAGGAAAAAGACTGACAGAGAAAGACACAGAAATACACAGAAGACAGAGACAGAAGAGAGAGAAAGAGAGAGAGAGAAGAGATAAAGACAAGAAGGCAGAGATAGAGAGAAGGGGACAAAAAGAAAGAGAGATGGGCAGACACAGGAAGAGACTGTCTCACAATGTCCTGGCTGTGCTCACTGTGCTCCTGGCTTATAGCACCAAGATGTGGTTGCAAGACAGGGAGGGAAGCTGGCATACTCCTTAGCCACACACTCCCTCTCACTTCTGCTCCTCTCCCTCCCTCTGCCCTGCTACAAACTTCCCCCGTGGCTGAGTCCTCCCTGCCCACAGTGGGAATTCAATGACCAGCGCTGAAGGAATGAGTGAAGGCAGTGCCTCATGGAAGTCCCTAGAGTGCCTTCTGAAAGACCAGCTGGGAGGGTACAAAAGAGCATGGTAACTATGGCTGCCTCTGGGGAGGAAGACTAACGCTTGGAGAGGGAGGGAGACTTTTCCATTGTATACCCTTTTATACTTTGACTGACTTACCATGCACATATGCTTCTTTCTCAGTAAAAATTAAAATACTTAATTAACAACATGCAGCCAGCCAGGGAGCAGGGCCTGGAGTAGGGTGAGGTGAGTAAGGTACCCAGGATGCAAAAATTAAGGAGGCACTCACTGTCAGAGGGCCACTGGGCAAACTATCCTTAAATGCTGGCCCTGGGCACCTTGCTTGCTTCACCCAACTCTCAGCCCTGCCAGAGAACAGAGAGCTTTGAAAACAATCTACCAAGCAGCAGTCAAGTCCTCTGCAATGTCTTCCTATTTCTAATTAAGAAATAAAATTTCACCATCTGATCCTCACCCCTTCCATGCCTCCCAGAATGCCCATCCCCATCTAGCACCATAGACTATCAGAGCTCAAACACAGAACAACAGGACTGGATTCAATTACCACAATTTAAATATCCAAGCCTCCTCTGTTCTCCTGATCTCATGTCCCTGCTGGAAAGCCTGCACCAATGAGTGCAGGGCCCATGAGAGGGGTCTTTAAGGCTCTCTGGGGGCTTGTTGCTGGAAGAGGAGTATTCATTCAAATAGCAGATCTGGACCCAAGCCCAAAGCAGAAACAAATCCCCAAGTCTCTCTGTGGCAAAGACTGCTAGTTATCTTCTAATATCTGTTTTTCCATTTTTCCTTAGTAATGGAAATTTTAGCCAGAGTCATGGCTGCCCCCAAATAAAGTTGGCATTGCCCAGCCTCTCTTGCAGGGACATATGGCCAGGTAACTAGGTTCCTGCTCTAGGATGTAAGAAAGGTTTTATATGAATCAGACCTCAGGAAGTATCTTTAAAGGGTGAGGCATACCTTTCTTTGCCCTTGCTGTCAGCCACGATGCAGACATGACAGCCAGAGTTTGCATAGCCAGCCTGGACTACCAGCTAGAAGTTCTGCTAAGGATGGCAGAACAGTAAGGCAGAGGGAAGGAACCCGGCTCCCTGAAGAATTATATAGTCATCTTACAAGCCCCACACTGTCTACTTTTAACATGTGAAAGAAATTAATTTCAATGTCTGAGCCATGCTGCTTTTGGTTTTCAGTCGTTTGAAACACAAACTAATCCTGAATAATACATGTGCCCTCAGACAGAACTCCGCCTCTCATACTCTCTGATGAGGAGCTGGCCTGGCAACCTGAAGTTGTAGCTCCAGTTACGCTAACAGTCACAGTTCCCTCTTCCCACAGGTCACAGGGAGGGAAAGGAACACTTCCTTCCACAAACAGGCTGGGTGTTACTAAGGTGCATTCAAGGACAGAGGAGTGTAAACCTTAACAAGAAGGTGGGAAAAGAAAAAAAAGGGAGCAGGGGGACAATCTACAAGTCTATCAGGAGAGACATGTTCTAGAGACATGTGGTCAAGAGAGGCAAACCCTTCCAAATGGAGATCCCATCCTGTAATCAGGAGCTACTTCTTGGGATGTGTATGAATGTGTAATGTACATGCCTTTTTAAAAGTCTCTTTGTTTTTAACTACAGAAATATTCACATTTCATCTTAGTATCAAAACATTCAAACTATATGACTGGCCGGTGTTGCTCAGTGGTTGAGTGTCGAATCAGGAGGTCAGGGTTCGATTCCTCGTAAGGGCACATGCCCAGGTTTCAGGCTCAGTGCCCAATAGGGGGTGTGCAGGAGGCAGCCAACAATGACTCTCTTTCATCATTAATGTTTCTATCTCTCTCTCCCTTCCTCTCTCTGAAGTCAATAAAAACATTTCTTTAAAAAAACAAACATTTGCCCTTGCTGGTTTGGCTCAATGGTTAGAGCATCAGCCTGCAGACCTGAAAGGTTTGATTCCAGCCAAGAGCACTAACCTCGGTTGTAGGCTTGATCCCTGGCCCCAGTTGGGGCTCATAAAGGAGGCAACCAGTCGATGTGTCGCTCTCACATCGAAGTTCCTCTCTCTCTCTTTTCCACTCTCTCTGAAAAGCAATGGAAAAAATGTCCTCGGGTGAGGATTAAAAATAAAGAAATCAATAAATAAAAAAATAAACAAAATTTTTTTAAAATTCAAACTATATATAAGGTTAGAGTACAAGGTCTTTGAACAGCTATGGCCAGGACCCAGTCCCCTTAGGCCTATCACACTCAGACATGAAAACTGTCTATTCATAGCAATGACTGACCAAAACAGGGGCTTACTACCTACTCAGAACCCTGCCCAGGCCCAAGTTCAAGACAGCAAGAGACAATAGAAAGCTATTCAGGTAGCACAGTGTTTCTTCACTCCAGCTTCACCCTTGATAAAATTCCTCTCCTTCCTCTTTCTCCTCCTCCTCACTGTAGGCCTTGCCAAACAAACCTTCAGGGCAATGGAGTCTCAGCTCTGAGCAGGCCTCTGCTTTGATGCCACTATGTCAGTGCTGAACTGACTTCCATGTTGAAACCTTCACAGCAAATATTCACCAATGACGTGCATGAGGTTACATAACAAGCAGGATCCCACAAAGATAAATGTACTGACAATACCTTAGGGAGAAACATACACTTCTGCAGTCAAATCAAATGCTCTTATAATGCTGGGCACCTGGCCAAAGAAGAGATCTAGGGGCCTCAAGAACTGC